AAATATTGTAATAAAAGTATTTAAAGTAGGGAACATTCTATGGATATTTTTTCCATTTTTACTGTCATGTTAATTATGCTGTCAATACTTGCAGGCTTGTAGATCATAATTCAAATTTTAGTATTATACATTATTTAATTTCTTAATTTAAAAGTAAATATTAAAAAAACAACACCTAAACATTGATTTTTGTGTGTCACATGGTAAGTTGAATACAGCATTGGTTCAAATTAGATGTTTGTGATGTCAAAATACAAAGTCTATAGTTGTATACAAATTAGGAACTTGAATTACTGATATTGACAAGCTAGAATATAAAATAAGAACCTCTTTTTTTATTTGCTGAGATATCGCTCATGTACAAAATCAAACACAGTGGCCCTGCTCACCTCTTTCCATTTTTGGAAACACTCTCTTATATACACTTACCTGTCTACGACATGTGAATAACCAATCGGTAGCCCAGAATGTCCCTCTAGTGGGTTTCTGAGCCATTTTCAAGTATTACAACATCAAATCATTCTTTTGATACAAAGCTTCAAGGTGGTATGTTGAGTCTTTAGTCTGCTTGAAATTTCATATTCTTTGTTTAGACCCAAATACAGTTTAGTTACTAAGCTTGATAAGTTATAGTGGAATTCTATGGTATCGATATAGTAATTTATGATTTTTTGGTTATTTTAAATGTATATATAAAACCTTAAAAATTATTTTGTTTTACATTCTTCGCGTGCAAAATTTTATAAGGCTTAGCTACTTATGACATGCAGCAGACAAGTACAAAGTTCATAACTAGAAGAGATAATTGTTTGCTTTACTTCTTTATTTACTGTTCTACGTTTTAAGAAAAATAAGTTTATAAACTTATTTGTAAATAGTATTAATGTATATACATATATAATTATTAATAATTGTAATGTGACTGTATTGTACAAAATACTGGTCCACTATAACACAGCCAAGACAAGTCACTTTGTAAAGATTAAAGGCCAGTTTTATATTATTGGATATGGTCCACATCATTGTAACTTCTGTATTGTTAGCCAGGCACAGCTGAAAGGTCAATATAATAAAAATGATAAATATATATATATATATGTATAATGCTCTGAGATTTTAGCTACTTAGTCTAAAAATTTGAGTTTTTGTGTTGTAATTTGTGTTCATTCTAGAATGAAAGAGGCATAATTTGTATTTATTTTCTAATTTTTTATGGTGGTTACGAGATTGGTCAAATTGACTGAACCTATACAGAGATATATATATATATATGTAGGCAGATTTTGTTTAAACAAGGCCTATACAGAGATTCATTAGTGAAAATAACAGATGAAGTATAAAGTTTTATTTTAGGAAACATTTGATAACTATCTGGACATTATAAAGATTTTGCATGTGAGATTTGAAAATTTTCTGACGCATAAAAGTATTTTTAATCTTAAAATGAAAATTACTTTGCATGTTGGATAGGCAACATGCGAAAAGAAAAAGGCATGAGAAAAACATTGCTTAAGAAACCTTAAGACTGAATAGAAAAATTTCGACTTCTTGAGAAGAATTCTAAGAAGAAAGTAAACCTACAGACATCAGTCTTGTTTAACAAAATCTGCCTATAAGAAAATCTGTCACCAAAGTACACCAATATATATATGTATATACACACACAAAATTAACATAGCATTTAAAGGATCAAAAAGGGACCTGTTAGTTCTTTGGAGCTGTTCCATCTCCTTAAAGAAAAATTGAAAAAATAAATTAAACTCTGATTATTTACGTATTCATCAGTACTTCCCTAGAACTCTCATAAATTTACTACATCCATCACATCTGAGAGCAGCCCATTCCAAAAGCCAATCACACTGTTAAAAAAAGTAAAACATTGCCAAAATCTATATTTGTGTCCCCTTTAACTTACTTTTGCTATAAGGATAGGCTTAAAATTTTAGTTTTGTGTTCCATGAAGTGCCAAAAAATTAAGAAGGGGGGGACATGATTTATGTATTTGTAAGACAAGAATAGCAACCAATCAATTAGTCCTTTAGGGCTGTCCATGCACACCTATCCTTGCCAAGATAATTTCTCCCAACCTTTACAAATTCTCAGAATAAAGAATAGCCAATACAATTTCCACAAATCTACCACAATAATAATATCAAAGATTCCTCTTTAAACTACAGAAAGCTGTTATTAGCTTTGACTTAATTTAAGCCATAATTCATAACTGTATAAAGGATGACACCTGAGATGGAAAGGTTATCATACAAGGATAAGTTAAGATCTCTGAAATCATTTTACTTCAATAAGATGACCCCTCAAAGGGGATTCGAGGTGTTTAAGATTATTAAAGAATTGATAATGTTGATGCACCATATTTTTTTTATATTTAATATTGGGAATGGGAGAATAAGGGGACCCAAATATACATTTTGGAAGAGTAGGAGTTACCTTCAGTTAAAACAGTTTTATTTTCCTAACAGCCTGGTTGGCCTTTAGAATGAGATGCCTTCACATGTGATGCAGAGATCCTGATAATGTTTGCCATGATCAGAGTGATACTGATCATATTTTGCCTCAATCAGTAGTCAGTAATTCAGTATCATTAACAAATATGTCTGCATGCTGGTTTATGTAGCGAATGAACCATTTATAAGATTTTGAATGTGTCAATATTATCTTATTGTGTATTTGGCCTCAAGAAAGTACTACAAAATGACATACACATAATTTATACATTTATTTATTTATAATTTGCTTAGTTCTCATTTCTATGGCTGAGAAATCTTTGCCCTTCTCCTGTTCTTAGCCCTGTCCCACATATGGCAAAATAAAAAACATGTTAAAAAAAACAACACATAAGTAACTTATAACTTCACAATCAGTACAGAAAAGGAAAGAACTTTATTAGTCAATTTATTTCATATTTTTCAACTATCAATTTGATTATTCTCAGACAATAACTCTAATGACCCTGAAATTAAGTATGATCCTTGTGTAGAGAAAACTACAGGTAAAACACAAAATGCTACTAAAAAGAACTTTTGATGTTCATATAGGAGGTTCAAGAAAATATGAAAATTTATAATGAAATTAAGTATAAATTATCCCTAACATGAAATTCATATTTAATGCAAATACTTTATATTATATTTAAAAAATCTAATTTTTTGTATATGATATACTTTTCACACATACTAAAAGACTGCCAACTTTCAATAAGATACACATGATAAATTTGGGATTATGGTAAATTACAAAATTTTAATACGGGCTCAGTCCATTGTCTGAGCAACACTGCTAATGGCAGGTGTGATACATATTCTTGCATCAGCGAGGTCACGTGACTAGTATCACACCACGTCCTTCTCGAACCTTCGTGAATTATCGGGAGACTACTAGATTGGGGGTAGTCTGGTATATATAAGACGGTCACAACGTGATGGAACGATGAGTAATTGAACTGCAGCCAGAGAGTGTGTAATTGAACTGAGTATTGTTGAAGTTGAGCACGTGTGACGTTCATTGTTATAGCACGACTGTTGAAATTAAGTGTATATTCAGAAAGAATAAACCAGTTTTATTTAAGAAAGGACTTGTGTCACTAAAGTTTCGTCGGAACAAATTTACGGAAAATTAACTAACGAACGGAGACGTAACAATATGCTTTTAGGCTTACAGGTAAGGAGAATGTGGAATATAATAAATTTTGCAAACTATTGAAAGTTATAATTTTCCTAAATGAAAATGTATTTCCGATAGGTACTTCGCTCTTCTCACAAGATTAGCTTTTCTTGTTTTGTGCTGCCCTCTGTATGTGAACTTTTTAAGAAATGCATGCCACAAGCCTTCATCGTTCCTTTGGAATCGAAACTTCCCACATGTCTCTCATGCAAATCATTATGCGTCACCTATCCACCAATAGGAGAGAATTACTATCATGTGACTTCCTCTATGCGCCACTACCGACTATCATTTTGTAGTTTGGCAGAAAATGGGAGAACCAGAAGATTGTTGGGGGGACGGGTGGGAAGTGTGAGCAAAGGGAAGTACCTATCAGAAATACATTTTCATTTAGGAAAATTATAGCTTCCAATAAGACAGAAGTTTGAATGGAGGTAAAGTGAGAGCATGAAGGACCACATTAATGTTCCAGTCTGGTAGCAACTGACACCTTGGTGGCCTATCGAGCAGGAAGAAACAGATAAACATGGACAGGACAGGGGAAGCAAGGACCCTGCAGAAATGGGAAAAATGGAAGGTATTGGATAACACCGCCCGAAACTCCAAAATGAAGGAGACCAAAGAATCACTTTCAAAGAGCCACATGAGACATTCGGGGATACAGGCAACCATTGAGTGAGAAACCCCGAGTCAATGCCCAAGAGCGATAAATGCTCCACTTGCATTGATAGATGGCCACAGAAGAAGAATGAATGGAATGGGCTAAATGTGAAGTTACTCTGCGAAAGAAACCAGAACTCCTTGCCATGGACCTGACAAATGCTATATGTGAAGACAGAGGACAGACAGCATAGGATACACACCAGTGACAAGGTTGATGGAGCATGTCAGGATGGAAGGGAAAAGGAAGGGGAGGGACCACCTGCAGTTGGAGTAACTAAGGGAACTAAGGTTTAGCAGGCTAGTAAGGAGCAATCCGAACGACCGTGCAAAGAGTGGCATGGATGGGGGAGACCACCTGATGAAGTAAACAGATGGGAGAGTAAATATAAAGGCACAGATAAAACCACTCCTGGCTGAAGGCATTGACAGCCAAGGCTCGAGGATGGGGAACCGGAAACCAAAATTGAGGTAATTTGTGATTGAGGGTAGTGGCAAAGGCATTGATATGGGGCATACCCAGATGCAGACTGATCCAAAGTCCATGAAGAACAAGGCATACCAACACCCTCCCTCTGTTGAGAAGCAAATCGGTCCATGTGAACCCTAATATCAGGGGACGGGAAAAGACTAAATAGGGTTGGGTTATATTACTTTACATTGTATTTGGGTATTAAAAGATTTGTGACTTTTGTTCCTAGCCAAAACTGTGACATTTTTCCTGTGACTTTATTTCTGGCCACCGTACACTCGTATACATAAGCAGTAACCTCTTCAAAAACTGTCAAAAGATTATTAAGGCATGGCTTTCCCCGAGTGAAATCATGCTGACAACCCAACCAAATTTTCAACTTTGTTAAATGACCTTGCATAGCATTTTATATTAAACTTTCAAAAATGTTCCCTCCACTGATATAAGAATAATAGGTATATAATTACTGAGACAATTTTTATAACTTTCCTTGAAAGTTAGCATCTTCCTACACTGAAAATGTATTTCCAATAGATACTTACATCTATTCCCAAAATAGCTTTTCTCAATAGCTTGCCACTAGTCTTCCACTTGGGCTTCTGAATATTCATATGCAAATAATCATGCAGCAACTCTCCATCATTAGGGATGCAACACAACTCTTATCATAACCAGAACCCTCTTCACATTAGCAATAATTAATCACTTTGAGATTGGTCAAATAACCTACACCATATATTACCTGAAATGGGGAAGCTGGGTGGGAAATGTGGGTGAAGGTAAGTATCTATCGGATATACATTTTCAGTGCAGGAAAATGCTAACTTCTGACACAATATCTTACCTTCACTCAGTTTGTTATTGGAGTACTTCCAATGGAGATGTAAAGATGGACTGGCTAGCAATAAAACCTGCCTTGATCCTAATTTAATACATAACATATAGACAAAAAGGAACAATATGGTCCTTCAAGATTGTCCCTGCACACCCACTCTTAAGAAAATAAAAAATTTAAACCCACCATTTATCTTTCAGGAAATCATCAATTATTTTCTGAAACTTTTAACTTTGTAAAGTGCTTCCCTTCAATGCTGCTAACAGCAACTCATTCCATTAGCCAGTAACACTTTAGAAAAAACTGTTAGCTAGAAGCTAGCCTGTCTTCTCCAAATCTTATTCTTGTGTTCTCTTGTCCAATTATCTTCAGTATCCAGCGCAATAAATCAGAGGTCTTTATCCTAACAATTTCCCAACAAACCTTGTAAACTTCAATAAGATCCCCTCATACCTTTCTTATCTCAAGAAAAGAGAAGAAATTTTGATCTATCCCTATAACATAACCTTTCCATCTTTAGAATCATCCCAGTAGTCCTTCTCTGAATCATTTCTAAGAAGTGAATATCCATACTTGGATACAGAGATCAAATCTATACATCGCATTCCAAGTGAGATCTAATTAGTATCTGGAACATGTTGCATAGACAGCTATGTATGTGATCAGCTTAATCAAGTAACTTCTGGGAACTTAGCCCGCACTCTTAAATGAATAAAGTACCTTCCTTAAAACAACATATAACATTGCAGATGAGTTTTGCAAATAAGTGAAGAACAACTGTTTTGGATTAATTTATTATATCAATGGAAATATATTTATAAACTTAACCCTTTACTACATTTTACAAGTCTAAAAACTTATTCCTTGTGACTTACATTTACATCAATTGTTGAAGATGAGACTGGGTGTAAAAGCCAAACATAAAAAGTAAAGGCACGCTTGAAGTTGAAAGGTTTCCCAGTTGAAATTACACTGTCATTATGCAATAATTGACAATTACTAAGAACATTAAAACATTAAAAAAAATCTTGTCAAAAGAAATCTAAAACTGGGTCTTATTTTTTATGTTCTCTTACATAAGAATGAGAATGGAGTTTCTTTCCAACCAAAAAACTAATGGAAAGTACCTATGAAAAGTACCACTTTTCTACTCCATCATCACACAAGTATCCAATTATAATTGAAAGAGACAGTGTGTATGCAATTTTCACATGTTTATATCTTGCTTAGCAGTTTTAGGATTTTGTTTTGTTGTTTTATTTTGTAAATATAACAAGTTGCCAAATTTGTTTTCTGCATTATATAACTTACCAATTTTATGACCATACTCATCACTCAAGTGATCAATATTGTAATTATATAATTAAGCATTACTATTACTAATAAAAAGTACTATTAGTAACTAATATAAAATACCCACACTCCACTATGGAATTCTAAGGTCCCCTCATGATTCACAGAGGCCTCAATGTACCAGTCATGCGTCTCTATTATCTTAATTACTTCTATTGCTACACCAATGCACTAATTCTTTAATTGATTTGTCTGTTGCCATTTCCCAAACATAATTCATATCAGCTCTTTTTAAAAGCAAATAGTTTTAATTTTGCTTCTCAGTTTCGTTTTTTCTTTCTGTGTTTTTATATGAATTCTTTTCATTCTCTGAATTCTCTAGTATTCTCCGATTCATATTTTTCTTCTCATTGTTTGTTGCCGTTTCCCAAATTTGGTTCAATAACTTTTTTAAATTCTCAGATTCATATTTTTCTTCCCATGTTTGTGTTGAAAAATAGAGAATTTGGCAGAAACCTTCCACATATTGTTCATTCAGTAAGTGTGAATTAGATAAAAATATGATACTTTTCTATACACCTTCAGGAAGCAGAATTATGGGGCTATAGGGCAAAAAAATTGGCCAAATTTTTTTTTAGTCAAGTCTAAAAAATAATGCCAAGGTGCACACCTTCAGAATCCCCTTAGTATGCATAAAAAGTTTCAGGTCTCTGGGTTACTTGCTCTAGAGCTATGGCAGTCATACACACACAGGCTCTTTTATGTTTCATTATTATAGATTACTGGTAGTGGTACTGGAATTAGACTTACAAGTAACATGGTCATTCTTGATAAATTAATTGATGCGTTTGTAAGATGTAGAGTAAATTCAGTATCAATAACATTATTAGTACCAGTTTAACGTTGAATATTATTTATGATTTATACACAAGAGCCAAAATGCTATAACATTAGTAGTATTATCAATTAATCATTTAATGATAAAGACAAGTTTGATTGGTGGAGTTTATAAATATTTATGCAACCAAAGACTTATGTTTTGGTTTTTGACAAATTGTATAATTTAAATTATTTATAAATTATATTTATAATAAGTTATGGGCCTAGGCTATAGTATAAATATAATATATACACATTTACCAATCCGTTGTTGTTTTGTCATTTACGACGTCTTTCCAAGCATCTAACATGGAATCCTTGTGTTTCGAAACATCAACAGACATTTTAGAAATTTTTCACAAAATACTAATTACTATTGAACTTGAATAAAAACGACCAAATTATAAATTACAATTTTTCGTCGACACCGGATGAGGTGTTACACTGTTAAAATTTGCACACGCTAGTTTTACGTCACCAATAATTGAACTTAATAAATAATTTAGCATAAAAAAATTACAAGTATCCTAATAATTCAATCAAAATAATATAGCTTATTAAATTTTATCTTTTTTACTTTAAGATTAAGTAAAAAATTAACAATAATTTTTAACCATTCAGGGTTTAGAAGAAAGACACTAAAGAACTTGTGACGTAATTTATTTACATTCTCAGAATCATCAAAATGACAGCTATGTGAAAAGAGTTATCAATGTGATGTAGGCTGTCATTGTGTCGATAAACATTAAAGAGTAGATAGGATATGCTCGTTTAGAAGAAACCGGCGTTTTTTTATATTTTAATTTTTCAGAAGATAGGTAAGTGATTAATAAGAAAAGGATAAAAGTAATTATTATCGGAATTTCAGTTCTATTCCTGATGACTTATTTTTGTTGCACTTTTGTTTTGATTTTAACGCGATTGCTTTAGTTTATGTCGTAATACTCATAGAGAAACTCATAAAGCCTAACTCAGTAACTGGATGAATTCGAACATTGCTATTTTCTATTCATTGACCACTCTTGAATATGCACAGCACATAATTAACATATTCATCAGTTTTTTGTATGTACAATACTGATTTAGCAGTCAGCTTTAGCGTAATATACATCTGCAAGCTTTGAAAGTTTCAGTGAATTACCGACTACTAATGCCATTGCCAGTAATGGCATTAGAAAAAGAGAAGTTTGTTTTCAGATTCAGTTGTAGTAAATCAGCAAGTAATTTTGCATTTACTTTTTAAACAAATTGTCTAGATTTTGGTACTACTTTTACAAAATTATTGGATACAATGCAACAGAGTTTTCCATACATCTTAAGTGCCAAAGTCACCCTTAAGTGACCTAGGAGCAAAAGGTAATATTCCTTATTAAGATATCACCTAACCACAGTGGTGCTGTCTAGTTATGTTTTTTACGTTTTTGATAGAAGAGTTAACACACAAGATCACGTATAAAAGGTGCAATGAATTACAGAAAAGACCTTTGTCTGTTTATGTTGTCTACCAAAGAATAAGCTATAACCACAAGAAAGACAATTGGGGTATCAAGAGTTGAAGGTTTGTGATGCAGAATTCCGATTACTAAGCATCTCCAAAAGGACAATAAACTCTTCAAAGAAGTGGCTTAAAACAATTCTTAAATGTGGCACGAGACAGAACACCTCAGTGTGGAATGTGCTGAGAGAATGAACAACTTCTATCCCACTTTTAAACCATTGAACGATTTCACATAGAACTGATAACAAAAAATAGTGAGACAATGCATAATAACCAGGTAGGATTACGGCAAACTGAGGTGTATGATAGGAAAATAAACATGAAACTGCAAATTCCAAGGTTTATACAGTAGTGAATATTGTCGCAAGATAGTGGCAAGTAAGGAGATAGTGTTAAGAGAGAAAAGAATAACAAATCTTATAATTAACAATTTTGCATTTGAACAATATTTTGAATGTAATGTTTATAGAATGGTGAGAAATGAGCTGAATATAATAAATTGTGAGAATAAAGATTTGGAGTTAGTTATCTATATCATTTTCATTGTAACTAAAAATGTTAATATTTGTGTTTTCACAGATGGTTTCCTCTTTCACCAAAGAGACAGTAAGAAGGAGGGTTCGAGCAGCATGGCAGAAAACAGGTAAGTATTACTCTTAGCTTTGTATATATTGAATATGCCAGACACTAGGAAAAAGAAAATGCATGGTAGGTGCATTTCCCATATGTTTAACTAATGTAATGATTTGAATGATTATGTTTGATGTGGTTGACAGCAGTCATTTCAGAATTGGTGTTGCATGTGATTGTTGGAGAATTGTTATCTTGAGTTGATTCTAGACATATAAATAGATTAATGTGGATTTCAACAAATCAGGATGTAAAGATGGTTGTTCTCAACTGGACTTTTTGGCATGTAGAACAACTGAGCTACACATGAATTATATCATTAAATTTCCCAACTGATTGCTTTATTTTCTTGTTCTTACAGATGTATTGAGCTTGTGATTGATCAAATAAAGAATATTCAGAAGAAATATGGTTTTTAATCTGTAGTATTTGTAATATGCTGATATATATAATCAACCAGTTTTATACTGTTTTTTTGTTTTAATAATCATAAGAGATATAAAAACAATTAGATTTTTTACAGCCTTTATAGATTACATCTGTATGCAGTTGAATAGTTTTGTCTGTTATTATTTAGTAAAACACGAATGGCTTTATTACAAAAGTATTTTATTGAATGTGTCTACATATAATCATCTCATTTCTAAATATTTAAACTTTCTTGTAACCTGTTGAAAGAAGAGTGTATGTAGAATTGTATTTCATAGTAGATGTTGGATAAATATTTCTGTACAGCAAAATCATGTATTTTTGTAGTGGTTCCTCTTCTTGGGTGGATTTTTGTTTTATTGTTTAGCAAAAGGATGTGCAAGGTCCAGTCCACTTAATGATAACAAAAGCATTTTGTTTCTAGTACTTTGTTGAAAACACATGGTCAAAATGTCAATTGCTGAAATAACTTGCTGGCTGACTGAATAATCAATCAACAATTTCAGTAATGTAATCTCACCCTCCTTACTTTATTTGCTTTCATAATTTCATATTTTATAAACGTTCATGAAATTACTAAATGTTAGTCTACACACTTATCATGTGACACCAACACTCCCTAAGGTGAAACAACAGTACAAGGTCTAATTTAAAAGAAAAAAATGTCCTCTTCCTGAATTGTGAAGTCTCTTAAACAGTCCTTTTACACATTAAACTTAAACTTACATAATTAACTATGAAATGAACTCTCAAAAATCAGTAATATTAATATACATAAATATAGATATTACAATAATTTATTATTTGAAAAAGTACATTCAAAATTTTGACTAACAAAACAAAATCTTCTTTCTTTACATTTTAATTGTCCCTAAGCTGTCTAACACCAAATCCCTATTGGTAGTTTTCTTTTCTGTGGATTGTTTTACAAAGTTGGGATAACTTCTTATTTATTATCAACATTTGCTGTTTTGTCACTTTTGATGGAGGAGTTTTCTATGTGTAGGTGATTGATGGAATCCACTGGTGGCTCCATTTGGGGAGGTTCTTTGAAAATGGTTTTAACAGGAACCTCAGGCTCATCTGTAGGTTTATTTCCCTTTGGCACCGTCTTGCTAGTGTACTTCTAAAGACAATCATGGTGGATGACCACTGGCTTAGACCACCTGTTTTTCTGGATTCTTTTTTACTTCAGCACAGAATTCTTCCCAACATCAACTTAAATTTAGAGATAGACCTCTCTTATGGTTTGGATTGTACAGCCATACCATGCTACCATGAAGAAGTCTTTCATGGTATATTCATGTATGGCATCAGTGGTTGCAGGATATGACCTCAGACTTCCTGCATTTTATTTTTAAGATGACTGCTACTACCACTGATACATGGTTGAACAATGGCAGCTGTAGAACCAATATCAATTAGCATATAGCAAAGTTTCCAAACAATGAATTGATTAACTCATGGACTGATTTCTTTGAATGATAAACTTTTTATCTCATTTGTGGTAAAAGAGTATTCTCATCTTTGGAGTATTATCTTCTGGGTTTATTATCACAGTTTTGAATATAATATCCATGTTTTCCACATTTATAGCAGTTTCTCTTTCATAAAGGCTTTAGTCTACAGTACCTGGCAATATGCCCTTTGAAGTTGCAGTTAAAACACCTTTTGTAGTGTGATTTACTTCTTCCATTCTAAGTTAAAAGTTGTTTAATTAATAATTTGAGCTATTCTGGACCTTCTTAGAGGAAGATGACGTGTTCACATTATTTGATCTGATTATTCTATAATTCTTCGATGGTGCTTTTAGCTGTTTTTCTGCAGCTTTAATCAATTCAAGTTCCATTGCCAGTTGGATAGCTTCCTTTATAGATGTGAACCTACTCTGTTTTGATCCAATTCATATATTCTCATCCATTATGGCATTCATGAATTGGTCAAATGCTGATAAATCCACCATTTTACTTAGAGTATCTGAATAAGAAGAGGCAAGCCTTTCTACATCTTCAACAAATTTGGTTAAGATGTCCTTCCTAATTACCCTGCCTTTAAACATTGTTTTTTTAGAAAATTCCTCTCAGTTTAACACTCCAAGTTTATTTATAAGGTAGCCACTAATGCCTAGTAATTGTTACAGCTGTCTGTTGGAAGAATGCTTAATGTTGTTTCAAATATGTAGCAAGAATGAATATCATGTTATTCATTTTGAAATTTATTGTGAATTGTGCCTGATATACCTCCCATAGTTCCTTTCCATCATAATATGTTGTTTTCTTGATTGAATGATATTGTTGAACTGGTGTGCTAAGTTCTTTAACTTGATGAAGTAGTAGTGGTGTAGCTGGAGTAGTGCAGGAAGTCCATGCAATAGTGGTGACAGGTGCTAATTGGATGACTTCTCCTATTCTATATTGTTTAACTAATGGTATTTGAAGCTAGAATTCTTGGATGGTTTTGAGAGAGGAGTAGTTAATTTGATCCTTAGATTTGCAAATTTACTTTCTAGATGCTTTATCCTAGAGTTGATGTCCTTTAGTACATTTCCTATGGTTTATTTAATATTATTATTTTATCTTTATGTATATCTTTCTTATTGTTACAATTCTTCTGTTATTCAGTCTTGTTGTTATAATTCTTTTGTTTGTATTTTTTTATCCTTCCTACAACTTATGTCTGAGGTGCTTCTTCGTGGTCCAGAGGGGTTTCCTCGGGAGGTTCATTCTCTTCTCTTTACTACTCTTGACTCCTCTGCTGTTTGGACTTGTTGGTTCGGGATGCACTCCTTGCTAATGTATGCCTACTTACTTCTTATCTGCATTATCTTCATTGGGCTGCTTTTCTTCACCCAGACATCTTTTGTGTTGTTCCTTATTCACTTGGAGATCTGGGCTGAAGCAGCCCAGCATCAGTCCTCTTCATCTTCCCTGGTTGATCATCTTTCCCAAT